CTCCACTGCTGGTGGGAGTGTAGACTGGTGCAACCACTGTGGAAATCAGTATGGAGATACCTCAAAGAACTAGGACTGGAAATCTCATTTGACCCAGCTATTCCCCTGCTGGGTATCTTCCCTAAAGAATTAAAAGGATCATACCACAGTGATATATCTGCACCCATGTTCATAGCAGCACAGTTTGTAGTAGCTAAAACTTGGGAACAGCACAAATGCCCATCAACTGGAGACTGGATCAAGAAAACGTAATTTTTTAAATAAAATGGAGTACTACTCTGCCATAAAAAATGAAAGATTAGAGACATTTATAGCTAAATGGATGCACTTTGAGATGATACTCTTAAATGAAATAAATAGGACACACATGTGTAAATACCAAATAGTTTCTCTAGTGTGAGAAACTGAAAGTGTTAATAAAGTGTAAAAGGTATAATAGATAATGTGAAATAGGAAGAAAAGGGGCAAAGGAGAAGGTGAAGTGAGAGGGGTGGGGAAAAGAAAGAAGGAAATGGAATTAATATGAGAAAATGAAAAAATGGAAACCAAGTCTTTGTAAATAAGGAGGGATTAATGGGTTGAAGGGAGGGCAGGGCAATGGGAAAAAATAAGAACCAAGAGAGATTATGTAAAGGTGCAAATTTCCAATGATGAATGTCACTATATTGTATACCTAAAATGTATCAATAAAATAAAATTTAAAAAAAAGACCTTCCAACTGCTCCATGAGGCAGGTGTGAAGTTATGAACAGGGTCTGGTATTAATGAGCCCAGTGGGAAGTAAATACTTCCCTAGATAGTAGGGCCAAAGCACTATCTGTCTTACAACAGGGTGAATTCATACCTAGAATAAAAAAGGGATGGACAATAGTGGCAGGTGTTGGATGGAAGGTAAGGTCTCCATTGGTCCATCAGCTTCATGGGTCTCCTTGAACTTTCTGTTCTGAAGCTGCCTGTCCAGGATGCAAACTGGACATGGAATCAAACACTTACGTAGTGAGGAGAAGAGGCAGCAGTCAGAATAGGAAAGTTCACCAAGATGAACTGCTGGGCTCACAAACGCATTTAGGGTGATGGTCAAAATATTTAACTGGCTTGGGGTGAGTCCAACCATGAAGATTGTGGACTGGAGACTCCCAGGGCTGCATGATGCAGATGGGTTGACTGTCAGCCCCCACATATGCTTACACAGTTTAACTGCATGTATATAAGTCACAAGTTGTAAAAGAAAAAAAAGAAAGAAAAGAACTTTAAGGAGGTTTATTCTATGCTCCCAGAGCCTCCTTAGCCCATGGATTCTACAGGATTGTCCCTAGTCCTTCATTTCACTGTTGACCTCAACCAGTTTCACGCTCCTTTGCATTACAAGGATCATGACACTCTTAGTTTGAATCTCACTCACGGAAGTAGCTTTGCAGTCAGCCAAACCCAACTTCAAATCCTGCCTTTATAATTATCAGTCATGGAGAATGTGGAAACTTTCAAAGACTTAATTTTTTTAATCTGTAAAAGGAGAATACAATTCCTCCAGCACAACATTTTTCTGTTGGTTAAATGAATCGTGTAGGTAAAGTGCTTAGCACAATGCCTAGCTCATAGAGGCTTTCTCTCCCATAGCTCTGATATTCAAGTTTATTATGAGTCAGATAGTGTTTGGTTTTTATGTAATTTTATATGTGAAAAAATGTGTTTTGGAAGAAAATCATAGTCTGAAACCAATACCAAGGTAAGAAATATGAATGAATACCAGAATAAAAGGTTTTCTAAAATAGTAGAAGTGATTAAGAGAAAACCATAATTGAAATACCAATTAGAGCACATTCTTGTGTATTTTGTGAAATAGATCATCTAGTAAATTCCACTCATCTTATTTTTGCATAACCATACACCTAAAAAGTAGCAAAACTGTATTTATTTAAAAATAACTTGTGATTGACAGTTTTCATGGAATTAGCTTGGCTTTGTCCACCTCCCTTGCGCACAATTACTTTGAAATTATAAAAATTTTACTTTATGTAGGAGACCATTTATAATAAAATGTTACATATCTATAAAGCACTTTTGCACACTTGATCCTGCTTAATCCACAAAAGTAGGATTCAGCATTGGGGAAACAATAATCAGAAATTCCAAGACCAGACTAGTGTTCAGTTATAAATGAAAAATTACAAGGATGCTCCCACCCACTCCCATCCTCCCCTGACTTGTCTCCACAGTCACATCAGAAGTGAAAATCAGAAAAAGAAGTTATATCTCATCTTCTTTCTTAATTCCGTAGATGAAAGGACACTGGGAGACAAGGTGAACATGCAGTAGCTTACAAGGCGGAAGCAGAGGGGCTTAATGTCACGGGGGAGGGTGGGCCACACAACACAGTGTGCCAGCCCAGTGTGCAATGCAAAAAGATAGAGTGCTTCAAAGTACAGTCAACCCCTAGCTCTCCCCCACACTTTTTTGCAATATATCACAAAGTTCCACTGAGTATGATATGTTCCATTTAGTCAGAACTGAAGGAAGTTTCCCTTTGAAGTAGAATCACTAACATTTCTTCTAGGAAGGAGCTTCGTCCCTTGGCTCATGCCCGGGAGTTTAACTTCTCAGTTTCTGAAAAATAGGGAAACAATTGCTGGCTGATTGTCATTAGAGGGAGTTTGTGTACGTGTTTGTGTGTGTGTGTGTGTATGTGTGTGTGTTTCTGGAAATGTGGACTCACCATACACCAAACAATTTAACTTGAAAAGAGGAGATTTCAAGATTATAGGGTGAGGATTTTCAGAAGAGCCAAAGTTTCTAGGACTTGTGGAACCTGGTAAATCTCTATACTGGAAATAGCATTGGCCTTGGAAGTTGGCACTGTGTATGTTTTGTAAGGAAAGGTTCCTTCAGAGGTATTCTCCGTATCTTCCCAAAAGAATTGAAAGCATCAGACCACAGTGATATATACACACCTATGTTTATAGTGGCATAATTTGTAATAGCTAAATCTTGGAAACAGCCCAAATGCCCATCAACTGATGAATGGATAAAGAAGATGTGGATTTTTTATACAATCGAGTACTACTCTGCCATAAAGAAGGATAAACTTCAGGCATTTATAGGTAAATGGTCACTGTAAGACCATACTCTTAAGTAAAATAAATCGGACACACATATTTAAATATCATATTGTTTCTCTGATGTGAGAAACAGAAGTGTAAATAAGGACCAAAATGCATAACAGATATTGGGAAATGGGAAGAAAATGTTCAAATGAGAAGGGGAACAAGGGTAGGGGAAGGAGGAAAATAAGGAAGGGAATAGAGAATTGAAGGAAAAAATGGAAACAAAGCTTTTGTAAGTAAGGAAGGGAAGAGGAATGAAGGAACGGGAGGGGAATTGGAAAAGAAGAAGAAGCAAGATATATCATGTACAGGTACAAATTACCTATGATGAATATAAAAAAATACATATACATTACCAATAAAATGAAAAAATAAGAACCAAGATACATCATGTACAGGTACAAGCACTCAATGATAAATGTAAACGAATTATATACCTAAAATGTACCAATAAAAGAACTTAGAAAAAAAATCATAAAAAAAGAAGTGATTGGGAAAAAAGAATAATAGTGCCAATATATTAAAGAAAGTGCTTTGAACTTAAAAAAAAAGAAAGGGCTGTTTTGGAAATATTCATGGGCCAAACTGAAAACATTAGTCTTCAAACAAGAAAAGCTCTGCCATCTCATTTCTGAAATCTCCTCACTACACAGGGTTCTAAATTTCTGTAAATGGTACCTCACATCCCAAATACAAAGATTTCTAAGCTGTTGCGCACTTGGCAAGGTGGTCCCAGCCCTTCAAATGGAAATGTGCTCCTTGACCTCATGTGACAGTTATTATGTAATAACGTCAAACTAGAGACCGAGTCTGCCTTTCAGAAGATTCTAGGTTGATTTGATAAACAGCGGCCTAAGCTTCCTCTAGGTCTCTAGAGAGCTACCATGAGAACTTAGACCATCAGCTACATTCCCAAACTCCATGTTAGCCCTCCAACGACTTCTGGATATCTCCCGACTCATTCAGAGAAGCCAGATGTTACTTAAAGCACAGTGATCTAAGTGAACACTAACCCTCAAGAGTCTGGACTCCTTAGTTTTTCTCCCGTGGTTCTAAAATGAGTTCATTTTTCTCGAAAGATGAAAAGGGTATGAGAAGAGACTGTACAACATTTTGCCATGTGGTCTGTCCTATGATCGAGAAAGAAAACTGACCTCAAACTCCCCAAGGATAATGCAAAAATAAATTCTGCTGACCTCCCAGACATAGAAGTAGCCCGTCTCTGTGAGAGTTTGTAACTTCCAAAGGGCTGGGAAAGCTGGAGGATGGTCCCTTCCCTGGCTGCTGTCCACAGTACAGGAAGAAACCCCAGGGAAGCCTTCAGCCCCTCAGGCAGCAGCCTGGCTTCAGGGCCTCTTCACAGGTCCCCCTGCAGGGGCCTAGTACTCACTCAGGGTTCGGACAGTGTCACTGGGCTGGCTTCGTGGACTGGGGCCATGGGGGTTCACAGCCCTCACAGCAAACTGGTAGTTGGTATCTGGAACAAGGCCCTTGATGATGATGGTGTCCATCTGGAAATGCTCTTGGATTAAGGTCCAATTCTTCTCAAAATCTGGCCTTTATTGATTAAAAAGAAAGAAAGGAAGAAGTAGTAGTAGAGAAATACCATGGGGAAAGGAAGCTAGCTAGCTGTGTGAACAGCATTTGAACTCTGGAAGCAATATTCATAAAAATGAAAAACATTTCCTATCTCAAATAAAAACATTTCCTATCTCAAAGTAGTCCTGAATTTAAATCATTGGTCATCACCTGTAAATCCCTGCCTATGAAAGCAAGTAGATCATTTTTAGGGCTAGTTTTGAGCACTGTTTAGAGACCATCCAGTTTTCCTTTCACAGCCTTGACCATGATGAGCCCCCACACAGGAGAGTTCATTTTCAAGGACTGTGCTTTCCAGATGTTTCATAAGCAAGCCTCTCCTTGGCAGTCCCATCCACAGAGGTCAGGGGAGCACAGACTCCATCTATTCACAATCTGTTCACAAATAAACAAATATAAGTTTTACAGGGTGAGTAACTGTACAAACTGCCATGGGAAAGCCCAAGAAGAATGTGTTCGTGGACATTCTCACACTTAACAAATTACATATCTGTGCCAAACTGCTGAGTTTTCACATATCCTTCCTAGGATCCTAAAGAGAAGCAGACTTTCATTTAGGGCTTCTACCTAGAAGGCAAGAGGGGAAGAGTGAAAGCTCTGCAGTCGGACAGAGCCAGGTTCAAATCCCAGCTCTGTTAATTACTAGGTACTACTTAGCTTTCTTAGATCTGTTTTTCCATCTGTAAAATGGGAATAATAAAGGTACCTATGTAAGAGGACTGCCATAAGATTAAACGAGGCACATCCTCAGTATAGTGCCTGGCACCTCACTGTAAACACTCCACATGTATAAACCATTATCTAAAGGTCTTACCCACTGGGAACCCACAGCTGCCTGCATCCCCCATATGTGCTCCCCGCATACACTACCTCAGCCCCACAAGGCTAGCCAGCACAGAAATGTGGCTCCTCTGTCCAAAGATGTACTATAAATATAAAACATACACTGAAAAAAAAAAACAAAAAAAAAAAGTACACTGGATTTTAAAGGAAAAAAGAAAGACATCTCATTGACAATTTTCACACTGGATACCTGTTTTACTGATAATACTTTAGAATCCAGGCGACAACAGTTTACTAAGATTAATTTCACTTCTTACCTTTTTGATGCCACTATGAGAAAACATAGCTTTACAAACAGGCTTGCATTTCATCTGCAGGCTAGCACTGCTCTATATGGGAGTGGGGGAGGGGAGAAGAGAATTGTGGGTAATAAGAACTGCAAGACGAAAGTTGGAAATGTTGGTACATAGCTGAGAGACAGTGTGAATGGCATGATCAGAGAGTTTGTGTTCATAACTAATCACAGGATCACTTTTTTTTTTGGTACCGGGGATTGAACTGGGGTCCTTACACTTGCGAGGCAGGCAGCGGAACCACTGAGTTAAATCCCCGGCCCACAATGACCACTTTTAAGTGCTTTCAAAGCACAAAAAATTGGGCCAGGGATTTAGCTCAGTGGTTTCGCCGCCTGCTATGCAGGCACAAGGACCGGAGTTCAATCCCCGGTACCAAAACAACAACAAAAACCAAAGTATAAAGAATTTTTCTTTTGAAAACTAACATATTCAGTAGTTACTAATATTAAGGCCCACCTCATTGCTGTTGTTTTAATACAGAGAAAAAAAATAAGGGCCTGTCCAAAGTCACATAGCTGAGAAATGGAATGGCTAACTGGGGTTGATGGGATGAGATTAGATTAAGAATATCCTTGATATTAGATAAAAACTAGGGTAATTGGTGGGGGGGGTATTCTCCCTCCTTTACCTTGCTTCCTGGATGCCTTTCAGTTGCTCCATTGTTAAACACCTCTGTTTAAGTAGAGTATTTAGAGGAATGCAGGAAGCCTGTGTTTGTCCTTTATGAACAACTTAGCAAGGAAATAAAACCTGTTATGCTAAAAACAGGTGCCTGATTGAACCACAGATTTCTTTAATATGTGCTTGCCTAAGTTTTCATTGGGAGAAATTATTGAAATCCCAGTAAACAGATGCTTCCTCAGGGTCACCAGACTGAGAAGTTTTCTGGGCTGTGCCTCATAGGAATTCATGCTCTGGAAAAAAGAGAGCTCATGGGGCATGTCCGCGGGGTGGGGGGATGAGGCTGCTTTCTCTTTCCTCATACTCTTTCCCTAAAGCCTAAAGATGGGCTTCTCATGTAAACAAAGTTTATCTTCAAAGGGAAAACCTCTGTGAGCCACAGGAAACACATTTACAAACTCATATTAGAACAAAATCACTTCATAGAGGAAAGCCACGGGGGATACCTAAAAGTAAAGTAAGGAAAGATGTGATCTTTCCATAGAATGCTCTGTTTATCCTTTGCTAAGCTTCCCTTGTCATATTTATAGAGGAAAATAACCCATATCTGTTCTCAGAACGTGCTGCTGTTTACCCAGGGCTATCTGCAGATATCTTCAACAATCTTCATGTACAAAATTACAGGAAAAAAAATAAGTTTTTGTATTTGTTGTTCATTTAATGCAGAAAGAAAACTATTTTCAGCAAATAGGAGATTGACATCATTAACATTTAATTTCATTATATAGAATAAGAGAGGAGAGTTTATGTAGCTTGAATACCAGTTCAAAACCTTTAACATTTTGCCCCTAATCCTGTCATGAGTTTTCCATTTGAATGCTTTTAGAGTCTCTTGAGATTTAAAAGTGCAAACATGAGGCTGTGAGAGAGATAACAAGGCAAAAATATTGTTTTAAAACATCTTCCGCAATAGCTTTATCTTGGACTCAGGAAAATAATTTCATCCTAACTACAAAGTTGTCAGTAAAAATCACCATAGCAACACTATCCTGGCACCTTCTCAACAATGAAAAGGGCTGGGTCAGGGAATGACAGAATGTGCGGCCATCCCAGGTAGAGATGGACAGCCACCAGCAGGATGCACACTTCAAGCATTTTTCCAATTACAGTTGAGGGATAGGGTTGGGTCAGGCATCCTACATCTTAGAATGGGGAGGGAATTTATCACGAGTCTGCAATGGCTACTCAAAATCCATTTAGTCAATTTAAGTAATCAAGGTACACTCTCTGGTTAATTTTGATGGGAAGAAGCACTTAGCATTTAGCGATGGTAGGATACAGCCTGGTTTTCAGGACTGGGTTGAATCTTAGTGATCATTTGATCCACATCTGAGAACTTCCAGAAACTGCAAGTTTACTTCATTTTTCTAAGTAAAGTCTCTTGAGCTTTTATCAGAGTCTCAAAGATAATCATGATCCCCAAAGCTTTAAGAGCCACTGATCTATGTTAATCTTCATTCTATGCACATGGACACAGAAGGAAAGTATTTATCCAAACGCACAGAACCACTAGGCAGTATATCTTTCTGTTTTATTCCCCTTCTTGTAGTATTATGACTACCTTGCCCTTTGCCAATCTAAACCCTAGGGTACAACCATTTTTCTTGGTATCATCAAATCCAGCAGGTGGATGCCTTGAACTAGTCAATTAGCAAATGATTAATGATTATCAAGCAGGCATACACCACAGAAGTTATATTCTGGGAGGCTCCTAGGAAATATAAACACAGCTCATTGTCACGGAGTCAACAGTATAACAACACATCGAAGGATGAGTGCAATAATAGAAGACAGAAGAACCAGTAAGAAACCACAGTAAAATAGCAAATTTCAAAAGCTGTATTTGAATGGCTACATGAACTGAAATCCTCAAGTAAGACTATGAGGACCAGGAAGAGCCTAAACTAGGATTTGACTGTATTTGAATTTGTATAACTGAAAAGGAACTGAGAATCCCTGGGTGGAGGACAGATTCACGCAGTATCAGCTGTGTGTGGTATGAACGTATTAAGTGTCAACTACTTGCTAAATATGAAGTGGGTTGACCAAAGAGAGTAAAATAGTATGGGTCTCTGATATGAAGGATCATTTAATCCATGCCAAAGATAGGTATAACACCTAAAAACATTAGCCATCACTGTAGTGGGTAAATAAGTATACGTACCTTTAGGCATAAACACATACTCAGGGCTTTCCTTACTAACTTCTGTGTCACCAGCTTGCCACATTAACTGATGTTCTACATTTGTTCCTACCAACTGAACAACTGGCTTATTAAGAGTCTACTGTGGTTATCCCCAAACCTGTTTATGACTTCTGTGTTTGTTATTTAATATTATGTAAAACAGTGAAATGTGAACATGAAAATGAGTAACAGCTATGTTGTTTTTGAGAGATTTGAAAAAGCTGAACTACTTTAAAAATGCCACTGAACTAACTGAAAGCAAGACAATTGTAAAAGAATGGGGAAAGATTATCAAATTTTAGGGTTCTGCACCCTCCTTTGCAAATGACTTTATGATTCTGGTTTGATTGAAAAAAAACTATCTGTAGTAAGTACAGGTGAGACCTTCTAAGTGGGTTTTTGCATGAGTATTAATGGTGCACCTCATTCATGGGCCCACATCTAAAGAAAAGACTATGGCCCTACATTAATAGAGTGGTGAATTGATGTACGTTTATAGAATTCATTTAAAAATAGTGTTTAAAGTATTATATATCATTTTAAAAATATAATTTCTGACTTTAACTGACTTAACAGACTTTAACTCTCCCCAACAAACCCAACAGTATTTGTGAAGGACTTTTAAAATAAATGAATGGGCAAGTCTATAGGTACCCTCTCACTTTACCGGAGGTACATGCATACTTGTGTGCAAACCACATAGACGCTTGTCAGTCTCCAAGGTTCTTCTCAAGATGGACTCAAATTCAAAATCCCCCCCACAAATCAGACTCCAAAACACACTGAAAGACTTTACTGAAAATCTTGTGAGAAAATTAGAAAGGCCAACTTTTTCCTAGATGTTCTGCCTCTAAATAAATGTTGAAAATATTTAATGACCATCACTTGACAGTCATTTCTAAGTTATTAGCCCACCTGGAGTACACACATATCTTAGAAAGGTTCAAAGGGGG